CCTGAACCTAAAATAAAAGTTAAAAAAAAAAAAATACAAGTTAAAAATAATAAAGTTGTAGGCGGGCGACGGTGGCTCAGGGACCCCTGTGATCCTAGCAGTTTGGGCAGTCAGAGGCGGGTGATCACCTGAGTCGGCGAGTTTGAGACCAGCCTGATCAACATGGAGAACCCCGTCTCTTACTAAAAATACAAAATTAACTGGGTTGTGGGTGCGGTGCATGCTGTAATCCCAGCTACTCGGAGGATGAGGAGAGAATCACTTGAACCCGGGGAGTCGAGTGTGCAGTGGAGCCAGAGTGCGCCATTGCACTCTAGCCTGAGCAACAGAGAGCGAAACTTGTCTCAAAATACTACTACTAATAATAAATAAATAAATAAAAATAATTAAGGCCGGGCGCAGTGGCTCAAGCCTGTAATCCCAGCACTTTGGAGGCCGAACGGGCGGATCACGAGGTCAGGAGATCGAGACCATCCTGGCTAACATGGTGGACACCCGTCTCTACTAAAGAGCAGTACAAAAACTAGCCGGGCGAGTGGCGAGCGCCTGTAGTCCCAGCTACTCGGGAGGCTGAGCCAGGAGAATGGCGTAAACCCGGGAGGCGGAGCTGCAGTGAGCAGAGATCCGGCCACCACACTCCAGCCTGGGTGGACAGAGCGAGACTCCATCTGAAAAAAAAAAAAAAAAAAAAATTAAAATGATAACGTGAGGCCAGACATAGTGGCTCATGCCCTGTAATCCCAGCACTCTGGGAGGCCAAGGCAGGTGGATCACCTGAGATCAGGAGTTCAAGACCAGGACTGGTCAACATTGTGAAACCCTGTCTCTAGTAAAATACAAAAACTATCTGGCCATGGTGGCGGCACACCTGTAGTTCCAGCTACTTGGGAGGCCAAGGTAGGGAGAATCGCTTGAGCCAGGAGCATGAGGTTGCATTGAGCCAAGATGTGCCCCGCGCGCTCCAGCCTGGGTGACAGAGCAAGACTCTGTCCTTAAAAAAAAAAAAAAAGATAATGATGAACTTATAAAAAATAAAACTGATCCTAAACACATGAACCAGATATTCATAAAAGAAGATATCTAAAGTGTATAAGACTAGGAAGGTGTTGGCATCGCCTCAGTCATTAAGAAATGCAAATTGAAACCAGGATGAATACGCACCATACTACTGTAATCTTTTTAAAAAGACTACAGACAGTACCAAATGTTGGCAAGGATGTGGAGAAACTAGAACATTCATAAATTGCCTGTAGGCATATATACAGCCACTTTCAGAAAACAGTTTGCTAGTTTCTTAGAAGATGACTACAACTTAGCAATTCATTCTTAAGAATCTACCAAGAGAAATGAAAATATATGGCTACAAAAACTCATACCGTGAGGTGCTTATTAGCATATTCATAAGAACCCAAACTGAAATAATTCTAAATGTCCATCAACTAGTGAATATATAAACAAGACACACACACACACACACCACACACAATTTGGAATACTATTCACTAATCAGAAGGAATGGCTATTAATACATTGCTACAGCATGGATGAACCTCAAAAAGATGCTGAGCTAAAGATCCGGTCGCAAAAGAATAACATATAGTAGATTCTGTTTGTGTGAAATGTCCATAAAAAAGTAAATTTAGGCCGGGCACGGTGGCTCCCACTCCTGTAATCCCAGCACTTTGGGCGAGGTGTGTGGATCACGAGGTCAGGAATTGAGACCATCTTGGCTAACATGGTGAAACCCCGTCCTCTACTAAAAATACAAAAAATTAGCCGGCATGGTGTGGGCAGCTGTATCCAGCTACTCGGGAGGCTGAGCAGGAAATGCGTGAACCCAGGAGGTGGAGCTTGCAGTGACTGAGATCAGGCCATTGACTCCAGCCTGGGCGATAAAGCGAGACTCCG